GTGCGCCTCGCGCAGCAACAGGTTCTCGGCTAGTTTTCCTGGCCTTTCGGTGTGCCGTAGGTAGAGTCGCCGCCGTTCTTGTAGGCCTGGGCAGGGTTTCCTATGCCATCAGGGCTCCTTACTCACTGGGCCCTGGCGCCATCGCAGTGAAGAACAGCGACCTCTCAGCGGAGGGCATCTCTTTATGCTTCTGTCTCCCCCTCTCCCCCTCTTTCAGGTCAACGGTGCTCTGGCCTCCCTGCCTGCTTCTCCTGCCCCCGGTGTGACCATTTCCCTGAGCGGCTCCTACGTGCGGGTTTCTACCAAGCTGGGCCTGCAGCTGCAGTTCAATGGGGACCATGAGCTCCTAGTGAAGGTGTCTGAGAAGCACAAGGGCAAGCTGTGTGGGCTGTGCGGGACGTACACTGGGAGCCAGCAGGACGACTTCATGCGCCCCGATGGGGTTGTCGTGCCCAACTTCAATGACTTTGGAGACAGCTGGATGGTGCCGGATGAGGAGTGGGCGTGAGTCCTTGCTCCGTCGCGTAGATGACGGGCAAAAGGGAGCGTGGGGGAGGGGCGCTGTGAGGGGCGCAAGGAGGGAGGGGCGGTAATGGCAGGCATGCGGCAAGGGAGAGGAGGCAGGCAGCTGTGGGAACGCGTGTGCAAGCACATAGAGGCTCCACGGCAGTAGGCGTTATCGTCCTTGCGTCTCACACCCCTGCTTCACCCACCAGCGGGGTGTCCTGTCTGCAACTGGGTGCCAGACGTGCGGCCGTTCCCCTTTCCCCTCAAGGCTGGCTTGCTTGTGCCAGCGTCCAGGCCCCTCCGCGCGGTCAGGGTACACGGTGCACTCGCCCCCTAGGCGCTCTGCTCTGGGGTCCTCGGTGACCTCTGTGCAGGGCCCCGCTGTCCCACTCCAGACGCTGCATCTCACCGTTCCTGACCCCAGAGAGAGCGGGCCGTGGCCTTGGCATGATGCTTTTGCCAAGCTGTTGCGATCGCAACTGCCTCGGCCATTTGTTTCTGTCCACCTGATGCCACGGAGGGGAACGGTGACTGTGGGCCATGTTGCCCACCCTTGCAGGTGACAGCCGTGGGTGCCTCGTCTTAGCGAGGGATCTGGACTCCAGAGGCCGAGGTTTTGGCTGGGGAGGAGGTCAGGAAACAGCGTGGCTGGGGTCCACAGGCTGCTGTGAGCTCAGGGCTGTCTGTCCGCTTTGCAGGTGTCACCCAGGCCCCATCCCGCCTGCCTCCTGCTCCCCCGAGGAGGAGGAGGCAGCTAGCAAGCAGTGTGCAATCCTCACGCAACTCGGTGGCCCGTTCCAGCCATGCCATGCAGTTCTGCCGCCCAAGACGTACTTTGAGAGCTGTGTCTATGACCAGTGTGCCACGGGTGGCAGCGCGGAGCATCTCTGCAATGACCTGGGGGCCTATGCTGCAGCCTGTGCTGAGGCAGGCGTTGCTCTGGGAGACTGGAGTGCTGGCACTGTCTGTGGTAGGTGTTCTGTTGATCTCCTTTGTGGCCCACGTTCAAGGAACGGGGCAGCTGTGGTGGAGGTTTCTCCGCGTGTCACCCAACCGCTCTGGTGGGCCACCAGCCCTTGGGTGAAGAGACTCTTTGTGACAGGGATACCGTGGAATGACACTCTCTGATTCCTGCCCAGGGCCTGTCTGGTCACGGCGTTGGGTGTTTGGGAAGGGTGGGCCAGCTGCCTGCAACAAATGTCCCATGTTGGTGCAGAGCTCCTCTAACTCTCTCTTGTGCTAGGTCCATCGACACCAAAACCCACCATCCCCTTGCCAAGCACTACAACACAGCCTCCACGCACGCCGTCAACACCAAGACCCACACCGAGCTCAGGTACTGCCGTGTTCCATTCCCATCTTCTACTGCTTGTTGAAACTGTTCATTTCACTTCCTCCAAGGCCCACCACCACGCTATGGAGTGTCTGTAGTGAAGGGGCTGCGCGGCTCTTTCTATCCTCCCGCTATGCTGGTGGATGAGCACTTGAGCGCTGGAATTTTTGCTGAGGAGACACTGGGCAATCCCTGCCCTGGGCCTGCCTGGTCACGGCGTTGGGTGTTTGGGAAGGGTGGGCCAGCTGCCTGCAACAAATCTCCCAGGTTGTTGCAGAGCTCCTCTAGCTCTCTCTTGTGCTAGGTCCATCAACCGCAGGACCTGAGACCGCCTTGCCAGACACCACAACACAGCCTTTGCATACACCGAGACCCACACCGAGCTCAGGTACTGCCGTGTTCCCTTCCCCTCTTCTACTGCTTGTGGCAAGTGTTCGGTTAGCTTTCTTCGAGGCTCGTGGCCAAGGGATGGAGTGTCTGTAGTGCAGGAGCTGCGTGTCTCCTTTTATCACTCACCAGTGCTCTGTGGAGAGCGCTTGAGTGCAGAAACCTCTGCTGAGGAGACACTGTGCGATTCCTGCCCTGGGCCTCTCTGGTCACGGTTTTGGGGTGTTTGGGAAGGGCGGACCGGCTGCCTGCAACAAACCTCCATCTTGCCACTGACCACTTCTGTGTCTCTCCGTAGGTCCGCTTCCTTCTACACCCTCGACCCCATTGCCAGACACTACGACGGAGCCACCACGCACACCAGCAACACCACCACCTGGGACCACCTCAGGTACTACTGTTATTGGTGGCGTTTTGAGTCATCTTCAAAACCCATAGTGGATATGCCGGGCAATGCTTTGTGTCACTCTCCTGCCGTACTGAGACACACATTGAGTGCTATTCCCTTTCTGAGGGTTTGGGTGGGACGCCCGTGCTTCTGGCACTTAGGTGTTTGAGGAGGTTTGAACCGGATGCCTGGAAAAAATATTCCTGTCTTGATATAGATCTCCACTAATTCTGTCTCTTGGCAAAAGCAGTGGACCAGTCATGGTGCTGATGTTCTTTGTGCAAGGTGGGCTGGGGAGAAGAGGCAGCAGGAGGTGCTTAACTGAATGTTTCCTCTGGTCTTTCATTAGGTCATTTAGCAAAGAGCCATCCAATTAAATCCTCATGCTACAAATATAAATTCAAAAGATGAAGAAGTTGAGCAGAACTTCAGAAAAGGGGATTCAAGGAGACACAGGAAGCTTTCAAGTGCTTAGCACCTCTGGAAATCTGGCTTCTAATCTAAGCTTCTAATGGGCTTCCAGTATTCACTTTAGAAGATGATGTTTGAACACTTTTGACCTACGACCAGAATTGGGTCATGAAAGACCAGAATTGGGTCATGAAAGACAACATACACTGTCGGTTAAGGGCTCAGCCAGGGACAATTGAGCACTTGTCTAACAGATCACCACTTTGGCTTTAATACAATATTTTATCTTTTTGAGAAGTGCTACTGCATCACATACCCAACCTGTCTACAGCTTCAGGTTTTCACCAAACATGCAAAATAAATTATAGAAGTATATAAACCAGGGCTTTAAAATTAATAAAGGAGAATCCTGCAGCTTGAGGTCCATTCAACCTTGCAGTCACAGCACTACAGAGGTACAAGGCTTGGCCTGGGGAAGGGCAGCTTGAGGAACATTGCGCTTCTCGTGGCAGTCAGTGTAGTTTCTGTCTTGAACAAGAGCTGGTCAAGGAGGACTGATTTGCTTCTACCATCTTCTACCATCTCTTTCGTAGGCGATGTGACTCCGACACCACCAGACACCACCACCACCACCACCAAACCTTCAACAGGGCATCCCACGCCACCACCCGTGCCAGACTCAGGTGAGTAGAGTAGACCCGTCATGGGGCCACCGTCCTTTGTGCAGGGCCTGCTGGGCGGCAGAGGCGGCAGGAGGTGCTTAACTGAATGTTTCCTCTGGTCTTTCATTAGGTCATTTAGCAAAGAGCCATCCAATTAAATCCTCATGCTACAAATATAAATTCAAAAGATGAAGAAGTTGAGCAGAACTTCAGAAAAGGGGATTCAAGGAGACACAGGAAGCTTTCAAGTGCTTAGCACCTCTGGAAATCTGGCTTCTAATCTAAGCTTCTAATGGGCTTCCAGTATTCACTTTAGAAGATGATGTTTGAACACTTTTGACCTACGACCAGAATTGGGTCATGAAAGACCAGAACTGGGTCATGAAAGACAACATACACTGTCGGTTAAGGGCTCAGCCAGGGACAATTGAGCACTTGTCTAACAGATCACCACTTTGGCTTTAATACAATATTTTATCTTTTTGAGAAGTGCTACTGCATCACATACCCAACCTGTCTACAGCTTCAGGTTTTCACCAAACATGCAAAATAAATTATAGAAGTATATAAACCAGGGCTTTAAAATTAATAAAGGAGAATCCTGCAGCTTGAGGTCCATTCAACCTTGCAGTCACAGCACTACAGAGGTACAAGGCTTGGCCTGGGGAAGGGCAGCTTGAGGAACATTGCGCTTCTCGTGGCAGTCAGTGTAGTTTCTGTCTTGAACAAGAGCTGGTCAAGGAGGACTGATTTGCTTCTACCATCTTCTACCATCTCTTTCGTAGGCGATGTGACTCCGACACCACCAGACACCACCACCACCACCACCAAACCTTCAACAGGGCATCCCACGCCACCACCCGTGCCAGACTCAGGTGAGTAGAGTAGACCCGTCATGGGGCCACCGTCCTTTGTGCAGGGCCTGCTGGGCGGCAGAGGCGGCAGGAGGTGCTTAACTGAATGTTTCCTCTGGTCTTTCCACTGTGAGCAGGGACCTGTGTGGTGGAGGGAGACCCTCACTACCACACGTTCGACAAGCAGCTACACCACTTCATGGGCACCTGCACCTACACCCTCTCCAAGCTGTGCGAGAGCAACAGCTCGCTGCCCTACTTCAACGTGGAAGCGGCCAATGAGCACAGGGGAAGCAACACGCGCGTGTCCTATGTCCGATACGTGGATGTCGACGTGGCTGGCCAGCGGATAAGGCTGGGGAAGGGTGGAGCAGTGACGGTAAGCGCAAGGAGGAGAGGCGGTGGGGCTGGGCGAGAGGACAGAGCTGCGCCAAATGGGTTGCTCCAACCCTGTCTCGGTTTCTGCCCTTGCAGGTCAACGGAGTGGCAGAGCTCCTGCCCTGCACCCCATCCGTGGGCGTGCAGGTCTCATCCAGCGGGTTCTACACTGTGGTCACGACAGACTTTGGCTTGAGAGTGAAGTTTGATGGGAAGCATCGGGTGGAGGTGACGCTTCCGAGCACCTTTGGGCAGAAGGTTTGTGGCATGTGTGGGAACTACAACGGGATGGCAGCAGATGACTTCCTGAACCCGGAAGGGGTGATGGAGCCAGACTCCACCAGCCTGGGCAACAGCTGGCAGGTGTCCAACGACAGCAGGTGCGTGTGGCCCCCCAGCAGGTCTGGGGACGTGTCGGGCAAGGGGAGGGGGAGGCACCAGGAGAAGCCCGCGGATGACCCAGGGGCCCTTCTGCCTGTCCTTCCACAGCTGCGCAGCCGGACCGCTCCCCACCCCAGCCTGCAATGAGACGGACAAGCAAGTCATTGCCAGCAGCCACTTCTGCGGGCTCCTCACTGACACCAGCGGCCCGTTTCAGATGTGCCACGCTGTGGTGAGCCCCAGCGATTACTTTAACACCTGCCTTTATGACCTGTGTGAGCTGGGGCTGGATCGCGAGGCCCTGTGCAAGAGCTTGCAGTCCTACGCGGACGCCTGCCAGTCGCTTGGTGTCAAGATACCTGCGTGGAGGAACGCAACCTTCTGCCGTAAGTCCACACGCGGTGCCGCGGATCGTTCCTCTCAGGAAAACACAGAACAGGAATGAAAGAGTGGGGTGGGGAATAAGAAGTAATTTTATTAGGTGCCGTGGGGATTTACAGGTAGTTGTCAGTATTAGAGGCACCATTTTCTGTTTCATTTGATCAGGTGTGACTTAGAATACTCACGGAGCCAAGCAGACCACAGAGAAAATATAGACTCTTAATTTTTCAGAGGGGAAAATACAGAGCAAAGCAGTGTTATGTTCCCCAAGTAACGGCCATGTCTTCTGTCTCGGCAGCCATCACCTGTCCGGCCAACAGTCACTACGAGCCCTGTGCTGCAGCCTGCCCTGCCACCTGTGTTGACCCGATGGCTCCTGCTACCTGCAGCGTGCCGTGCGTGGAGGGCTGTGTGTGCGACAGCGGGTACCTGCTCTACAACGACCGATGCGTGCCCAGCCAGCAGTGCGGGTGCTGGCACAACGGGCAGCACTACCCCGTGGGCTCGGAGTTCTGGACGGACAACACCTGCTCCTCAAAGTGCACGTGTCCCGCGCGGGGAAGCAAAGTCCAGTGCACCAGTGCCTCATGCCCTGCGGGCCAGTACTGCGGGGTGCAGGATGGGAAACCCGAGTGCCTCGAACAATCCTACGGCATCTGCCACGTCCACGGTGACCCTCACTACAACACCTTTGACAAGGTGACGCACCACTTCATGGGCACCTGCACCTACACCCTGGCCAAAGTGTGCTCCAACACCACCTCCCTGCCCTACTTCAACGTTGAGGCCAAGAACGAGCATCGTGGGAACACCAGAGTGTCGTATGTGCGCGAAGTCCTGGTGGAGGTGTACGGAGCGCGCATTGTCATTGTCAAGAAGGAGAAGAGCCAAGTGCTGGTAGGCAGCGGGGCTGGCAGGAGCGTGGCGCGGCTGCAAGGCGGGGCTGGCTTTTCTTGGCAGGGCCTGGGCTGTGCCAGACACCTCCATTGTCCCAGGCCCGGGTGGGTTGCCCTGCAGCCACTGGGTTGCTTTGTTTTCCCTTTCCGGAGGGGTTGGAGGAGGAAGAGGCAAACGGGGAACGTGGCCCGTGTTGAACGGAGGCCCCTGCAGAGTGCAGAACACAGGCATGGCTCTGCAAGCCACAGGGGCGTCTGGGTGTGAGGGCATCATGGGCGCCGGTTTGCCGTGCCCGGCCTGGCAGCTGATTTCCCTGGGGCAGGAGACCCCAGGGAGGCCAGGGACAAGTCCCGGGCCCATTGCGGTGTGTCTGCCCTAGGTGAACAATCTGCGCAAGACCTTGCCGGTGAGTGCAGCGGGAGGTGCCATCACGGTGAGCAGGAGCGGCCGCTACATCGTCCTGGAGACAGACTTCAACCTCAGAGTGTCCTACGACACTGACCACTCGGTGGAGGTGAAGGTGCCCACCACCTACGTCAACCTGACCTGTGGCATGTGCGGGAACTTCAACAGCCGGAGAGAGGACGATTACATGATGCCCAACGGGCTGCAAGCCGCCGACCCCAAATACCCAACCTGTCTACAGCTTCAGGTTTTCACCAAACATGCAAAATAAATTATAGAAGTATATAAACCAGGGCTTTAAAATTAATAAAGGAGAATCCTGCAGCTTGAGGTCCATTCAACCTTGCAGTCACAGCACTACAGAGGTACAAGGCTTGGCCTGGGGAAGGGCAGCTTGAGGAACATTGCGCTTCTCGTGGCAGTCAGTGTAGTTTCTGTCTTGAACAAGAGCTGGTCAAGGAGGACTGATTTGCTTCTACCATCTTCTACCATCTCTTTCGTAGGCGATGTGACTCCGACACCACCAGACACCACCACCACCACCACCAAACCTTCAACAGGGCATCCCACGCCACCACCCGTGCCAGACTCAGGTGAGTAGAGTAGACCCGTCATGGGGCCACCGTCCTTTGTGCAGGGCCTGCTGGGCGGCAGAGGCGGCAGGAGGTGCTTAACTGAATGTTTCCTCTGGTCTTTCATTAGGTCATTTAGCAAAGAGCCATCCAATTAAATCCTCATGCTACAAATATAAATTCAAAAGATGAAGAAGTTGAGCAGAACTTCAGAAAAGGGGATTCAAGGAGACACAGGAAGCTTTCAAGTGCTTAGCACCTCTGGAAATCTGGCTTCTAATCTAAGCTTCTAATGGGCTTCCAGTATTCACTTTAGAAGATGATGTTTGAACACTTTTGACCTACGACCAGAATTGGGTCATGAAAGACAACATACACTGTCGGTTAAGGGCTCAGCCAGGGACAATTGAGCACTTGTCTAACAGATCACCACTTTGGCTTTAATACAATATTTTATCTTTTTGAGAAGTGCTACTGCATCACATACCCAACCTGTCTACAGCTTCAGGTTTTCACCAAACATGCAAAATAAATTATAGAAGTATATAAACCAGGGCTTTAAAATTAATAAAGGAGAATCCTGCAGCTTGAGGTCCATTCAACCTTGCAGTCACAGCACTACAGAGGTACAAGGCTTGGCCTGGGGAAGGGCAGCTTGAGGAACATTGCGCTTCTCGTGGCAGTCAGTGTAGTTTCTGTCTTGAACAAGAGCTGGTCAAGGAGGACTGATTTGCTTCTACCATCTTCTACCATCTCTTTCGTAGGCGATGTGACTCCGACACCACCAGACACCACCACCACCACCACCAAACCTTCAACAGGGCATCCCACGCCACCACCCGTGCCAGACTCAGGTGAGTAGAGTAGACCCGTCATGGGGCCACCGTCCTTTGTGCAGGGCCTGCTGGGCGGCAGAGGCGGCAGGAGGGGCCTTACTGAATGTTTCCTCTGGTCTTTCCACTGTGAGCAGGGACCTGTGTGGTGGAGGGAGACCCTCACTACCACACGTTCGACAAGCAGCTACACCACTTCATGGGCACCTGCACCTACACCCTCTCCAAGCTGTGCGAGAGCAACAGCTCGCTGCCCTACTTCAACGTGGAAGCGGCCAATGAGCACAGGGGAAGCAACACGCGCGTGTCCTATGTCCGATACGTGGATGTCGACGTGGCTGGCCAGCGGATAAGGCTGGGGAAGGGTGGAGCAGTGACGGTAAGCGCAAGGAGGAGAGGCGGTGGGGCTGGGCGAGAGGACAGAGCTGCGCCAAATGGGTTGCTCCAACCCTGTCTCGGTTTCTGCCCTTGCAGGTCAACGGAGTGGCAGAGCTCCTGCCCTGCACCCCATCCGTGGGCGTGCAGGTCTCATCCAGCGGGTTCTACACTGTGGTCACGACAGACTTTGGCTTGAGAGTGAAGTTTGATGGGAAGCATCGGGTGGAGGTGACGCTTCCGAGCACCTTTGGGCAGAAGGTTTGTGGCATGTGTGGGAACTACAACGGGATGGCAGCAGATGACTTCCTGAACCCGGAAGGGGTGATGGAGCCAGACTCCACCAGCCTGGGCAACAGCTGGCAGGTGTCCAACGACAGCAGGTGCGTGTGGCCCCCCAGCAGGTCTGGGGACGTGTCGGGCAAGGGGAGGGGGAGGCACCAGGAGAAGCCCGCGGATGACCCAGGGGCCCTTCTGCCTGTCCTTCCACAGCTGCGCAGCCGGACCGCTCCCCACCCCAGCCTGCAATGAGACGGACAAGCAAGTCATTGCCAGCAGCCACTTCTGCGGGCTCCTCACTGACACCAGCGGCCCGTTTCAGATGTGCCACGCTGTGGTGAGCCCCAGCGATTACTTTAACACCTGCCTTTATGACCTGTGTGAGCTGGGGCTGGATCGCGAGGCCCTGTGCAAGAGCTTGCAGTCCTACGCGGACGCCTGCCAGTCGCTTGGTGTCAAGATACCTGCGTGGAGGAACGCAACCTTCTGCCGTAAGTCCACACGCGGTGCCGCGGATCGTTCCTCTCAGGAAAACACAGAACAGGAATGAAAGAGTGGGGTGGGGAATAAGAAGTAATTTTATTAGGTGCCGTGGGGATTTACAGGTAGTTGTCAGTATTAGAGGCACCATTTTCTGTTTCATTTGATCAGGTGTGACTTAGAATACTCACGGAGCCAAGCAGACCACAGAGAAAATATAGACTCTTAATTTTTCAGAGGGGAAAATACAGAGCAAAGCAGTGTTATGTTCCCCAAGTAACGGCCATGTCTTCTGTCTCGGCAGCCATCACCTGTCCGGCCAACAGTCACTACGAGCCCTGTGCTGCAGCCTGCCCTGCCACCTGTGTTGACCCGATGGCTCCTGCTACCTGCAGCGTGCCGTGCGTGGAGGGCTGTGTGTGCGACAGCGGGTACCTGCTCTACAACGACCGATGCGTGCCCAGCCAGCAGTGCGGGTGCTGGCACAACGGGCAGCACTACCCCGTGGGCTCGGAGTTCTGGACGGACAACACCTGCTCCTCAAAGTGCACGTGTCCCGCGCGGGGAAGCAAAGTCCAGTGCACCAGTGCCTCATGCCCTGCGGGCCAGTACTGCGGGGTGCAGGATGGGAAACCCGAGTGCCTCGAACAATCCTACGGCATCTGCCACGTCCACGGTGACCCTCACTACAACACCTTTGACAAGGTGACGCACCACTTCATGGGCACCTGCACCTACACCCTGGCCAAAGTGTGCTCCAACACCACCTCCCTGCCCTACTTCAACGTTGAGGCCAAGAACGAGCATCGTGGGAACACCAGAGTGTCGTATGTGCGCGAAGTCCTGGTGGAGGTGTACGGAGCGCGCATTGTCATTGTCAAGAAGGAGAAGAGCCAAGTGCTGGTAGGCAGCGGGGCTGGCAGGAGCGTGGCGCGGCTGCAAGGCGGGGCTGGCTTTTCTTGGCAGGGCCTGGGCTGTGCCAGACACCTCCATTGTCCCAGGCCCGGGTGGGTTGCCCTGCAGCCACTGGGTTGCTTTGTTTTCCCTTTCCGGAGGGGTTGGAGGAGGAAGAGGCAAACGGGGAACGTGGCCCGTGTTGAACGGAGGCCCCTGCAGAGTGCAGAACACAGGCATGGCTCTGCAAGCCACAGGGGCGTCTGGGTGTGAGGGCATCATGGGCGCCGGTTTGCCGTGCCCGGCCTGGCAGCTGATTTCCCTGGGGCAGGAGACCCCAGGGAGGCCAGGGACAAGTCCCGGGCCCATTGCGGTGTGTCTGCCCTAGGTGAACAATCTGCGCAAGACCTTGCCGGTGAGTGCAGCGGGAGGTGCCATCACGGTGAGCAGGAGCGGCCGCTACATCGTCCTGGAGACAGACTTCAACCTCAGAGTGTCCTACGACACTGACCACTCGGTGGAGGTGAAGGTGCCCACCACCTACGTCAACCTGACCTGTGGCATGTGCGGGAACTTCAACAGCCGGAGAGAGGACGATTACATGATGCCCAACGGGCTGCAAGCCGCAGACTCCAATGAGCTGGGGCAGAGCTGGCAGGTCCCAGACGACGACCCCTCTTGCGGTGTCCCCTTCCCCCCCGGACCCTGCAGTGCAGAAGAGGAGAAGCTCTACCGATCGGACCAGTTCTGTGGCATGCTGACTGCCGGGCCTGGCTCTTTTGAGAGGTGCCACGGCGTGATCAACCCCCAGAGCTACTTTGAGACCTGCTTCTATGACCTTTGTGCCCTGAATGGTGGCCAGGAGGTCCTGTGTGCTGCTCTGGAGGCCTACGCTGACGCATGCCAGGCAGCCGGCGTGACTCTTCTTCCCTGGAGGAATGCCACCTTCTGCCGTGAGTACCTGCCTTGCAGTTGCCAGAAGGGGAATGTGCCGCTCCCCGTGCCCAGAACCGCTGGCCAAAGCAAGTCTTTGGTCGTCTCCTTCCCAGGAGGTCGTCCTTCCTTGAAGGCTTGCTTGTCCTAATTGTCCCCTTCCCATTGCAGCCCTGCCGTGCCCCGCCAACAGCTACTATGACCCTTGCATGACCGGCTGTCCTGCCACCTGCGTTGACCGACAAGCCCCGCAGAACTGCTCCAAGCCCTGCGTGGAGGGCTGTGCGTGTACCTCTGGCTTCCTCCTCAGCGGAGACACCTGTGTGCCCGAGGCCCACTGCGGCTGCCTCTTTGAGGGCAACTACTACAGCGTGAGTGAAAAGCCTGCCCTGGCTTGCACCCCTCCCAGGGCACTCCCTCGTCTCTACTTCCCTGCCTGACGCGCTGACGCTCGGTGTTCCTCTGCCCGCAGGAAGGCGAGCACTCCGTGAACGAGAACTGCACTCGCCAGTGCCGGTGTGAAGGCAACGGCCAGATGGTTTGCTCTGCGTTGTCCTGTGGTGAGGACGAGGTCTGCAAGATCCAGAACGGCCAGAGGGACTGTTACCCAGCCAGCACTGCTCTCTGCCACATCTACGGCGACCCGCATTACAGCACCTTCGATGGGAAGCTTCACCACTTCCAGGGCTCCTGCAACTACACGGTGGTGACGGGCTGTGAGAACTCCTCCGTGGGGTTCAGTGTCACCACCCGCAACGAACATCGCGGCAGCCAGAAGTGGACAGCTCTGAACTCTGTGGCACTGTCTGTGGAAGGCCTCCACATTGCACTGCGCAAGAACAAGGCGGTCTACGTAAGCCCCTCATTTTTACACCTGGGAACAACACATGCCCTAGGCACCATTAAGTACCACTCTGTCCCCAGGAAGAGCTTGATATTCCCTGAGCCTGGCGCACGGCGAGGCTCTGAGCGGGGCAGATATGGCTGCTCGCGCAGCAACAGGTTCTCGGCTAGTTTTCCTGGCCTTTCGGTGTGCCGTAGGTAGAGTCGCCGCCGTTCTTGTAGGCCTGGGCAGGGTTTCCCATGCCATCAGTGCTCCTGACTCACTGGGCCCTGGCGCCATCGCAGTGAAGAACAGCGACCTCTCAGCGGAGGGCATCTCTTTATGCTTCTGTCTCCCCCTCTCCCCCTCTTTCAGGTCAACGGTGCTCTGGCCTCCCTGCCTGCTTCTCCTGCCCCCGGTGTGACCATTTCCCTGAGCGGCTCCTACGTGCGGGTTTCTACCAAGCTGGGCCTGCAGCTGCAGTTCAATGGGGACCATGAGCTCCTAGTGAAGGTGTCTGAGAAGCACAAGGGCAAGCTGTGTGGGCTGTGCGGGACGTACACTGGGAGCCAGCAGGACGACTTCATGCGCCCCGATGGGGTTGTCGTGCCCAACTTCAATGACTTTGGAGACAGCTGGATGGTGCCGGATGAGGAGTGGGCGTGAGTCCTTGTTCCGTCGCGTAGATGACGGGCAAAAGGGAGCGTGGGGGAGGGGCGCTGTGAGGGGCGCAAGGAGGGAGGGGCGGTAATGGCAGGCATGCGGCAAGGGAGAGGAGGCAGGCAGCTGTGGGAACGCGTGTGCAAGCACATAGAGGCTCCACGGCAGTAGGCGTTATCGTCCTTGCGTCTCACACCCCTGCTTCACCCACCAGCGGGGTGTCCTGTCTGCAACTGGGTGCCAGACGTGCGGCCGTTCCCCTTTCCCCTCAAGGCTGGCTTGCTTGTGCCAGCGTCCAGGCCCCTCCGCGCGGTCAGGGTACACGGTGCACTCGCCCCCTAGGCGCTCTGCTCTGGGGTCCTCGGTGACCTCTGTGCAGGGCCCCGCTGTCCCACTCCAGACGCTGCATCTCACCGTTCCTGACCCCAGAGAGAGCGGGCCGTGGCCTTGGCATGATGCTTTTGCCAAGCTGTTGCGATCGCAACTGCCTCGGCCATTTGTTTCTGTCCACCTGATGCCACGGAGGGGAACGGTGACTGTGGGCCATGTTGCCCACCCTTGCAGGTGACAGCCGTGGGTGCCTCGTCTTAGCGAGGGATCTGGACTCCAGAGGCCGAGGTTTTGGCTGGGGAGGAGGTCAGGAAACAGCGTGGCTGGGGTCCACAGGCTGCTGTGAGCTCAGGGCTGTCTGTCCGCTTTGCAGGTGTCACCCAGGCCCCATCCCGCCTGCCTCCTGCTCCCCCGAGGAGGAGGAGGCAGCTAGCAAGCAGTGTGCAATCCTCACGCAACTCGGTGGCCCGTTCCAGCCATGCCATGCAGTTCTGCCGCCCAAGACGTACTTTGAGAGCTGTGTCTATGACCAGTGTGCCACGGGTGGCAGCGCGGAGCATCTCTGCAATGACCTGGGGGCCTATGCTGCAGCCTGTGCTGAGGCAGGCGTTGCTCTGGGAGACTGGAGTGCTGGCACTGTCTGTGGTAGGTGTTCTGTTGATCTCCTTTGTGGCCCACGTTCGCCCCGCAGAACTGCTCCAAGCCCTGCGTGGAGGGCTGTGCGTGTACCTCTGGCTTCCTCCTCAGCGGAGACACCTGTGTGCCCGAGGCCCACTGCGGCTGCCTCTTTGAGGGCAACTACTACAGCGTGAGTGAAAAGCCTGCCCTGGCTTGCACCCCTCCCAGGGCACTCCCTTGCCTCTACTTTCCTGCCTGACGCGCTGACGCTCGGTGTTCCTCTGCCCGCAGGAAGGCGAGCACTCCGTGAACGAGAACTGCACTCGCCAGTGCCGGTGTGAAGGCAACGGCCAGATGGTTTGCTCTGCGTTGTCCTGTGGTGAGGACGAGGTCTGCAAGATCCAGAACGGCCAGAGGGACTGTTACCCAGCCAGCACTGCTCTCTGCCACATCTACGGCGACCCGCATTACAGCACCTTCGATGGGAAGCTTCACCACTTCCAGGGCTCCTGCAACTACACGGTGGTGACGGGCTGTGAGAACTCCTCCGTGGGGTTCAGTGTCACCACCCGCAACGAACATCGCGGCAGCCAGAAGTGGACAGCTCTGAACTCTGTGGCACTGTCTGTGGAAGGCCTCCACATTGCACTGCGCAAGAACAAGGCGGTCTACGTAAGCCCCTCATTTTTACACCTGGGAACAACACATGCCCTAGGCACCATTAAGTACCACTCTGTCCCCAGGAAGAGCTTGATATTCCCTGAGCCTGGCGCACGGCGAGGCTCTGAGCGGGGCAGATATGGCTGCTCGCGCAGCAACAGGTTCTCGGCTAGTTTTCCTGGCCTTTCGGTGTGCCGTAGGTAGAGTCGCCGCCGTTCTTGTAGGCCTGGGCAGGGTTTCCCATGCCATCAGTGCTCCTGACTCACTGGGCCCTGGCGCCATCGCAGTGAAGAACAGCGACCTCTCAGCGGAGGGCATCTCTTTATGCTTCTGTCTCCCCCTCTCCCCCTCTTTCAGGTCAACGGTGCTCTGGCCTCCCTGCCTGCTTCTCCTGCCCCCGGTGTGACCATTTCCCTGAGCGGCTCCTACGTGCGGGTTTCTACCAAGCTGGGCCTGCAGCTGCAGTTCAATGGGGACCATGAGCTCCTAGTGAAGGTGTCTGAGAAGCACAAGGGCAAGCTGTGTGGGCTGTGCGGGACGTACACTGGGAGCCAGCAGGACGACTTCATGCGCCCCGATGGGGTTGTCGTGCCCAACTTCAATGACTTTGGAGACAGCTGGATGGTGCCGGATGAGGAGTGGGCGTGAGTCCTTGCTCCGTCGCGTAGATGACGGGCAAAAGGGAGCGTGGGGGAGGGGCGCTGTGAGGGGCGCAAGGAGGGAGGGGCGGTAATGGCAGGCATGCGGCAAGGGAGAGGAGGCAGGCAGCTGTGGGAACGCGTGTGCAAGCACATAGAGGCTCCACGGCAGTAGGCGTTATCGTCCTTGCGTCTCACACCCCTGCTTCACCCACCAGCGGGGTGTCCTGTCTGCAACTGGGTGCCAGACGTGCGGCCGTTCCCCTTTCCCCTCAAGGCTGGCTTGCTTGTGCCAGCGTCCAGGCCCCTCCGCGCGGTCAGGGTACACGGTGCACTCGCCCCCTAGGCGCTCTGCTCTGGGGTCCTCGGTGACCTCTGTGCAGGGCCCCGCTGTCCCACTCCAGACGCTGCATCTCACCGTTCCTGACCCCAGAGAGAGCGGGCCGTGGCCTTGGCATGATGCTTTTGCCAAGCTGTTGCGATCGCAACTGCCTCGGCCATTTGTTTCTGTCCACCTGATGCCACGGAGGGGAACGGTGACTGTGGGCCATGTTGCCCACCCTTGCAGGTGACAGCCGTGGGTGCCTCGTCTTAGCGAGGGATCTGGACTCCAGAGGCCGAGGTTTTGGCTGGGGAGGAGGTCAGGAAACAGCGTGGCTGGGGTCCACAGGCTGCTGTGAGCTCAGGGCTGTCTGTCCGCTTTGCAGGTGTCACCCAGGCCCCATCCCGCCTGCCTCCTGCTCCCCCGAGGAGGAGGAGGCAGCTAGCAAGCAGTGTGCAATCCTCACGCAACTCGGTGGCCCGTTCCAGCCATGCCATGCAGTTCTGCCGCCCAAGACGTACTTTGAGAGCTGTGTCTATGACCAGTGTGCCACGGGTGGCAGCGCGGAGCATCTCTGCAATGACCTGGGGGCCTATGCTGCAGCCTGTGCTGAGGCAGGCGTTGCTCTGGGAGACTGGAGTGCTGGCACTGTCTGTGGTAGGTGTTCTGTTGATCTCCTTTGTGGCCCACGTTCAAGGAACGGGGCAGCTGTGGTGGAGGTTTCTCCGCGTGTCACCCAACCGCTCTGGTGGGCCACCAGCCCTTGGGTGAAGAGACTCTTTGTGACAGGGATACCGTGGAATGACACTCTCTGATTCCTGCCCAGGGCCTGTCTGGTCACGGCGTTGGGTGTTTGGGAAGGGTGGGCCAGCTGCCTGCAACAAATGTCCCACGTTGGTGCAGAGCTCCTCTAACTCTCTCTTGTGCTAGGTCCATCGACACCAAAACCCACCATCCCCTTGCCAAGCACTACAACACAGCCTCCACGCACGCCGTCAACACCAAGACCCACACCGAGCTCAGGTACTGCCGTGTTCCATTCCCATCTTCTACTGCTTGTTGAAACTGTTCATTTCACTTCCTCCAAGGCCCACCACCACGCTATGGAGTGTCTGTAGTGAAGGGGCTGCGCGGCTCTTTCTATCCTCCCGCTATGCTGGTGGATGAGCACTTGAGCGCTGGAATTTTTGCTGAGGAGACACTGGGCAATCCCTGCCCTGGGCCTGCCTGGTCACGGCGTTGGGTGTTTGGGAAGGGTGGGCCAGCTGCCTGCAACAAATGTCCCACGTTGGTGCAGAGCTCCTCTAACTCTCTCTTGTGCTAGGTCCATCGACACCAAAACCCACCATCCCCTTGCCAAGCACTACAACACAGCCTCCACGCACGCCGTCAACACCAAGACCCACACCGAGCTCAGGTACTGCCGTGTTCCTCCGCGCGGTCAGGGTACACGGTGCACTCGCCCCCTAGGCGCTCTGCTCTGGGGTCCTCGGTGACCTCTGTGCAGGGCCCCGCTGTCCCACTCCAGACGCTGCATCTCACCGTTCCTGACCCCAGAGAGAGCGGGCCGTGGCCTTGGCATGATGCTTTTGCCAAGCTGTTGCGATCGCAACTGCCTCGGCCATTTGTTTCTGTCCACCTGATGCCACGGAGGGGAACGGTGACTGTGGGCCATGTTGCCCACCCTTGCAGGTGACAGCCGTGGGTGCCTCGTCTTAGCGAGGGATCTGGACTCCAGAGGCCGAGGTTTTGGCTGGGGAGGAGGTCAGGAAACAGCGTGGCTGGGGTCCACAGGCTGCTGTGAGCTCAGGGCTGTCTGTCCGCTTTGCAGGTGTCACCCAGGCCCCATCCCGCCTGCCTCCTGCTCCCCCGAGGAGGAGGAGGCAGCTAGCAAGCAGTGTGCAATCCTCACGCAACTCGGTGGCCCGTTCCAGCCATGCCATGCAGTTCTGCCGCCCAAGACGTACTTTGAGAGCTGTGTCTATGACCAGTGTGCCACGGGTGGCAGCGCGGAGCATCTCTGCAATGACCTGGGGGCCTATGCTGCAGCCTGTGCTGAGGCAGGCGTTGCTCTGGGAGACTGGAGTGCTGGCACTGTCTGTGGTAGGTGTTCTGTTGATCTCCTTTGTGGCCCACGTTCAAGGAACGGGGCAGCTGTGGTGGAGGTTTCTCCGCGTGTCACCCAACCGCTCTGGTGGGCCACCAGCCCTTGGGTGAAGAGACTCTTTGTGACAGGGATACCGTGGAATGACACTCTCTGATTCCTGCCCAGGGCCTGTCTGGTCACGGCGTTGGGTGTTTGGGAAGGGTGGGCCAGCTGCCTGCAACAAATGTCCCACGTTGGTGCAGAGCTCCTCTAACTCTCTCTTGTGCTAGGTCCATCGACACCAAAACCCACCATCCCCTTGCCAAGCACTACAACACAGCCTCCACGCACGCCGTCAACACCAAGACCCACACCGAGCTCAGGTACTGCCGTGTTCCATTCCCATCTTCTACTGCTTGTTGAAACTGTTCATTTCACTTCCTCCAAGGCCCACCACCACGCTATGGAGTGTCTGTAGTGAAGGGGCTGCGCGGCTCTTTCTATCCTCCCGCTATGCTGGTGGATGAGCACTTGAGCGCTGGAATTTTTGCTGAGGAGACACTGGGCAATCCCTGCCCTGGGCCTGCCTGGTCACGGTGTTGGGTGACATCAACCTATTATCTAGGTAGACTAGTTAACATAGGGGTAAGGCTAGAGGCAAGAAATTGCTTCTTCTAGAAGTACCAGAGGTGATTACCAAAGCCAGCAGAATTGGCCGCCTAAGTGTGAGGCTATGACATGAAAAGGCATTCTATAACCTCTTTCCAATTCCGAGACAATACTTCTCATCCCAGTTTTTAAGCAGTAACAGGACATGTCAGACCATTCTCATTACGATGTCTAGCTTTCCACCTAAGCAGGACTTTTAGAGCCAGCCAAACGCTACTGTGCCAGCTTTGAGCAATTTGCAATGACCAAGGATTATGATTGTGGCACCGTGTAAAAATATAGGATATAGTGCATTATGGTGACTAACACACATTCTCAGGCACTTAAAATTTCATATTTTATAGTCAATTTTTCAGTACTGGTCACTTCTACTCATTCCATTATAATATCTTCATATTTTTCATGAACACGGGTGCATGAGACCTAAGAGGGCATTGTCAGAACAGAGAGAAGATTCCAAACCTCATTGTGGAAACTGTTTTTCTTTCTGTACCATATGCAGCTGCACCAACAGCCTGCAATATGTCCTGCACATTTGATGTTGACTTCTGTGAATGGGAACAGGAAACCAGTGACAACTTTGATTGGATAAGGCACAAGGGGCCGACACCCACACCAAATACCGGCCCTTCCCATGACCACACGACCGGAGGTAGGAACAGCAAAGAATACCTGGCTGTGCTTCTCTTGGAAGAGGGCAAGGACCCTCTTTTAACAGCAAATCCAGGCCACGTGTTTCCTAAGCTCAGTCCAGAGCCTTCTGCAGCAGTCAGGAATCTGTTGTGGGGTGGATGAACAGTGCAGGACATTGATAAGCATGTGACCTGTTAGCATAAGTTCCTGTAAAGAGGCTTCAGCAAACGCATATCCAGGCTGAGACTGGATCGCTATGGCACTCAGCATTTCCTTTAGAAGGCTTTCCTTTCCCTCCTAAGGAGACCAGTGTAATCTGATGGAAATCCATTGGGGGACTGAAAGCTTAATGAAGGTTCTGGGTGAAGAAATGTTGTACCGTAGACGATCTGCAAATGAAGTGACTTGTCTTGTCGTGGCCCATTCATGCAAAAAATTGACACTCTGCTGTTTCCAGATGGCTATTATATCTACCTGCAAGGAAGTAAGCAACAGCCAAGTGATGTAGCCCGCTTGGTCAGTCCGGTGTGCAGTTTGGAAGGACCACACTGCTTCCGCTTCTGGTATCACATGTACGGAGTGGCTGAAGCAATGGCCCTGCGCGTGTATGCAGTCCACAATGAAACATCAACACTGGAATGGAAAGATGCTGGAAGCAAAGGGGACAAATGGAACTTGGGAGAGGTCATGGTGCACAGCACAGGAAACACGCGGGTAAGGGCAGGGGCTCTCAGTGCCACCTGAGATGAACTGTGCTTTGTAAAGGAACTTCACGTATATGGCCGGAGCTAATGCTGGGAACCATCCCTTCTGTAGATTGTCCTGGAGGGCATGATAGGTGAAGATTTCCGGAGTGACGTAGCATTGGATGTCATTTCCTATCCCCACCTCTTACTGCCTGTCATAAGTTCTGAGTTTTCTTAATCCAGGTCCCACAGCCAACTGTCAGAGTTTTTATACTGGCAGGTCAGAGCTTTTGCTTGCTGACCGAATCACACTGATGTGACAGTCCTTCAGTGCTGGAACTCCTTCTGAGTAATGACTATGAAAGTCCTGCCATGGGTCTCTTTTGCTACAATGTTGGGGTTTTTGGTAACGGTACACCAGCAGCCTGATAGTTATTATTTCACATACCCTTTATTGCTATGTCCATAAGTATTTAAATTACTCTTCTTTATGGCAAGTTTTCATCTGTTATACAGATGTTATTGTTTTTAGTATTTTGAAATTTAATGTAGCTTCCAAATTTTATTTTTATTTTGGATATAATCCAGTTATATGGTCCTGGAAAAGACTGAGTCATTGTGGTTATTTTTATTTTAATGCTCTAGGAAATACACTAAATATCAGTTTAGATAAGTTTTAACTGCTTTTTTCCTTCGATTTTAAGCACCACGTCTTCGACATGTGTCAGCTTGTACAAGGGAGTGCTAGCTCACCTAGTCAGTTTTAATTTCTTCTGCGTTTTTTTATAATTGTTATGTATGTAGTTCCTGGAGTTTTAATAGTTTGGGTGTAAGCAGTTAAGGCTGACATGTAGACACAACCATAAGTGTAACTGTTTTTGTAACATGCCATTGAAAAGCAGAGAAGACGTAAAGACCTCATTATTTTTTGTTGTTGTTGAAAAACACCATAAAACACCTGCAAGCTCAACTCTGCTAAGATTTGATGGGAAGAATTTTTTTTGCTGAAAATGTGAATTTCTTATTAGCACTCAAACCCTTATCCAGCTTACACACACAAATGCACATACACTGTGTACCTCCATTTGTATATATTATTACTAGCTAATTAACTTCAATATTTTTTAAAAGTGTGTAAGGGACATCTTGTGTATGCAGTGTTAGATAGGAGTTCCATAACTGACGTGAGTACAGAAGGCCAGACAGCTTGTAGTGCAGTGGTCTATTCTGGCTAACCAACCCTGTGAAGTTTTTTAGTAGATTCTTCCTGTTTAGTCACAAATAGCCTTTCAGACATGGACATTAAAAACTCACTGCTCCTCTTTATATAATGATGTCTTAATAGCAAAGCTTGTTTTAATATCAAAGCTTTTTGCTTATATTTCTTCCTCAACCTCTAGCATAGATTTCTGATACATAAGAGTGCAGATTCTTTATGGGTCCAAAGACAGGAGGCTGGGCTGGGCTTTGAAATGTTCTTGACTCATGCCATCACTGTTATATCTGAGCAGAAGTTACAAAGTAAAACAAACAAAGTGGGGACAAAGCAACTGCAGAAGTCTGGTAGAGATTCAGAGGGAATTATTCTGTCTTTCTTTCTTCCCAGGCCGTGCTTTCTGCAGTGCCTCTGGAGATCCACATTATAACACTTTTGACCAGAGAGTTCATAATTTCATGGGAAATTGCACTTACACCCTCTCCAAAGTGTGCAACGTCTCTGAGAGCCTTCCATACTTTGATGTGTCCACAACGAATGAGCACAGAGGAGCCAACACCAAAGTCTCTTACGTGAAGTCAGTGCAGGTGGAAGTCTATGGCAACCAGATTTCTTTGCTGAAAAACAAGAAAGTGAATGTAAGAAAATACTTGTTTAAAAGACATGTATAATATTTTTAAACTGACGTGCAGATAACGAAATATTTTCTCTGACTGTAGAGTTCATAGCAAACTTTCTCTTTTTATTAGTTAAATGTACCTCTTTTAGTGAGATGTCCAACAAATTTGCTCAGCTGAAGTGTTCTTTAATTACTTCCAGTTCCCTTGTGCACAAGATCATATCTTGCACTAATCTATTTTAGCTGCCAGTAGCTATAGGAGTCCCAGCAGCCGTACACTAACTTTTACAACTTGCTGTACAGGTCAATGGCAGCAGAATGAACCTGCCTGTATTTATTGAGAAGAAGATCAGTATTCAAAGCAGTGGTGGATATGTTGTCTTGCAAACTGACTTTGGACTGTGGGTGAGATATGATGGAAATCACTATGCAGAAGTCTCTGTGCCCTCTAATTACAGAGGTCTGCTCTGTGGCCTCTGTGGTAAGTCATAGGCTTAGTCACTTTTTAGTGAGTTGTGGAGGCTGGTGATTGCTTAAACTTTTTTTCTTAGCATGTCATACTCTACACACAACTCATCCTTGTCAAATGGACTAGAATTTACAGCAGTGAAGAAAACTTGCTAGAATTTTTCAGTTTCTAAGAACTGTTACTTACAAAATTCCTGGTAACATGCTATCCATTTGTAATGTTGTAAGGTATAACTACAAATAACAATTTTAGCCAAATAAAAAACCTCAATTCAGTTCTACAGTTTAAATTTAGGAAGAGTAATGATTTGCATGCATCTAAAGAATTCTACAAATACATTTTTCTGTTATTTACATTCTGATGTATTTGTCTTTTGTTGGGTGTGAGGAATGCTATACCATTTCATTTTGTGAATCATAAAAATTTGAGGCTGTTTCCACAGCAGAGAGCAATCTTCAGAATAGCTTACGGTCAGCATCCTCAAACTTTCCAGCTGTTGTTTTCCTGTTTCATGAGGTATTTGTACAACCCAAATGATCATGTTTATATGATCAAAGGAAAAAAAAAAAAAAAAAGAAGATATAAAAGAAAAAGAAAGACATGAAAAATTAGACTACTAAGGCTTATTTTTACCTGCTTTTTATTCCAGCTAAGATAGGCACTGTCTACATTAAAATAAAGCAATGACAAGGATCCAATATGGATAATCCTGAGCTGACAGACTTGATGAATAAGCAAGAAAATTCATACTTTATTTCCAAAATTCAAATACCACAAAACATTAAGTGCTCTATGTGATACAAAACACAAAGGCCTTTTAGAGTACTGTGAGAAAGATCAGACACAAAGGACACATTCTACTGTGTTCTGCAAGAAATTCTGATGCAATAGGATAGCAAAGTAAATAAGTCACAGGTGGCTTATGTAGCTAATGAGAGTAGGAGCTCACTGGAATTAGTAGTGTCCAGTAATTTTTTATCAGCGATGTTGCTAGTGCCTGAACCTGAGCAGGTTTAGTTGGAACAACATGCTGAAATCCAGCTGATTATATGAAACGTACTTCAGGATAGAGATGGGACTGTAGAAATTATGAGAGTAGCTTGTCTTGTGAGTTTCTGATTATTCTTTAATTTGGATCACCTGAAATTTCCTAGTTCAATTATCTCTCCATGGGTTTTTCACACTTTCAATTCGGGAAATCTACCTAAGAATATAATGGTGCAAATAACACCATTTGATTTTTAGTCCAACATTCTACAGGTAGGATCCAAGGAAATGAGTTGGTTTTTTTTAGTTAAGCAATTCTTTCTTGTATGCAATGTAATCTAGTTACATGAGAACTTACAGACTTCTTGCTTCAAGTCCACAAGTCTCTGAACGACAGCTCTTGTCAGTAGTCAAAGCCTAAAACACAATTGAGCTCTTCTTGTTTTGCCCAGTACACACTGATGTTGCATATATACTCTCCCTAGCTCATTGTAGTTTATTTTACAGCCTGAAACCTAGATTTGTTCTACAGGTGTGAACTTCATGTGTCCCATAAATCTCTCTTTACCCTCACAGGTAATTATAACAGCGATCCAAATGATGACAACATAAAGCCCAATGGTGACATTGCAAGTGGTTCCACTGATCTTGGACAAAGCTGGCTTGTGCCTGAGAATAACACCATGTATGTATATTAATTTAATCACATGGCATTTGCTAATCAAACTCTATAAAATCGAACATCTATCCACTCACTGACTTTGTCATCCAGTGCCATTTTACATCTTCCAACTGCCTGTTAGAAGTAGGGAGCTGCCTCTTTACTTTAAACAGGGAATGAGAAGAGGGCTTATGTCCTTTAAGTCATGTTTTCCAAAGCAAGAACTGTCTGCTGAGTGTGAGGGGGGATGGGACTTCAGTCCAGTTCCCTGACTGGAAACCATAACTGATCGGATCTCATAGTTCCTTTTTCAGCTAAGAATAAGCCTTTGAATAGCCCAGAAGGCATCAAAAAGGGAGTCCATTCAGTGATAGAGCTGACATCAGCTTTTCAAAGAAGCTGGGTAAAGTCTTGTGACTGTAATAAAATACACCCTGTTGTGCACGGTTGTCATGTGTCAATCTTCCACTGAAAATCTGATAGTAAGAGATGTGAAACACACACTTGATTTTGCTTGCTTTCCCCAGATGCTCCAGTGGGACAGAAGAGCAATGTGATCCTGTGCTGGAGAGTGAAGCAAAGAAGAACACAGCATGTGGCATGATCACAGACACAACAGGTAGTATGTTGGTAGTTCTCTGTGAACCATATGATGGAGCACTTTATAGCTTGTGTTGTCTCCTCTCTATGGTCCGTTGTTCTGAGCTCCCATTGGAAGCATATAAAACCTCCAGTGTGAATGGCCAATATAAAACTTGTAGGTGCTTGGTCAAGTTACATCAACCATTCAGACAGTGCCAATGTGTCCACAAAGTTTATCTGAGAATGTGCGCAGGGAGCCATAGCTGCTATTTGCTTTATAGTGACTTGCACTCTGCTTGCTAAAAGGAATAGTTCAGAGGGCACTGTCAATGCATGTATTGCAGATACTTTATCTGAAATTCTGTAGAGGTTCCCTGCGTTGGAGAGCCCCTGCAGTTGACTAGAATTAGTGGCTTACCTAGCCAGCAACTCTTAATTTATGTAGGCTATGGTGTATGTAACCATGCAAAAAGAAGAAAGCCTGATCCAGAGGGCCAAGTCTCATTGTGCATGCTCCATTTCAAGTGTTGGTTTGACTTACTAAACAAAGTTAGCCTGGAGCACTCACAATACATTTGCCGTGACAGAAAATAGATGGTGGTAGCGATCTTGTCATTCCCAATTTTTTTTCTGTCCTTCTCATATATCTTTCTTGATCTACATAGGAATCTTCAAGGATTGTCATACCAAAGTGCCTCCAAAGAATTTCTTTGAAAACTGTGTTTACGACATGTGTTTCACTGGTGGACAGGCAACATCCTTATGCTATGGACTGCAGGCCTATGCTGAGTCATGTATCAATGCTGGGATATGCATAGAGTGGAGGAATGCTACACTTTGCCGTGAGTGTTGTGACTTATAAATATCTATTCTGGATTTAAACTTCAAATGTATGCACATTCTCCTCTACCTTTTCCATACATGTTATTTCATTTTATGTACTGTTTTGAGTATAGTCTATCTTTTGTCATGTCTTGAGCCTGCTTCAGTTTCAGCATCATTGCAGTATTTGTATAAAACACTAATTTTCGTGAACATTTGGATACATGTAGGTCTAATCCTTAAAGTTTTGACAATTTACTATTAGTTTCTTGGAAAAGTTTGATTACATTCAGCTGTATCTTACATGAGCTTCTGCATTGGGGAAATAACTGTTGCTTTGCTCCACTAAAAATCTACCATCCTCAGTGTAAGTGGAGCTGGTAGCCCTCTATACACAAATGGTTATTGATGGGTTTTGGGTCAGAAACTAGTTTAATAAGAGACCTTGAGAAACAGCTGTTTCTAGGCAGTTTACAAGTATTTGTCTATAAAGCAAAGAAATCAAATATTCTCACCTATCTCCCGATTAATTCTCTTCAGAATGACCTTATGGGAAATTTCATATAACGAACTCATATTTCTTAGAATAAAGCTTTCCAGGGGTTCCACTGGTGCTGATTTTATGAAGCACTGGGCAGTTTTCTGCTTGCCAGACATCTTCTAAAGGACCTTTATCTCCACAAAGTACACACCTGGAGAAAAAAAAAAAAAATCCTCTAAAGGTCAACCACACTGAAATAAACCATAATTCTTCTCTATGTTTTTTTGTCTTTTACACTGATTTTAATTATACCAGTTACCACTGTATTAACTTCTGCAGATTTGCACCTTTTTTTCTTTTTTTTTTTTTTTTCCTTGTGATCAACAATTAGCTCTACATTGAAACTACACCATAAAAAAACATTGAGAGATTCTGGGAGCTGCTCAGTTTGAAAAAAGAATTACTGTGACTTTAGAATGGCTTTAAAGCACCCAGTAAGTCAGCACTGGGAGGACAGAGCACAGAGAATTCATATATAAAAAGAAGACAGAGCAAGAAACGAGCTTCTAACCCTCCAAATCAGATTAAAGCTACGGACATCCAGACTCCACAGTCTGAGGCCATAGCCCAGGGACTAAATATCTATGGCTTGATTATAGTGATAGAGAAGACTCAGTCACATTAAGAGGATTGACTCTCAAGTGCTCCTTTCATCAATAATTCAAATAAAAACTCAATTAAGAACCTGACAAAGAGCAGGTACTCTGGCTAGATGACTGGAGATGTTGGCTGTAGTTATCTGACAGGACTAAGAGATCCTGCTGTAGGGACAGAAGTAAATGAGAGTCATATGTAGTGATTTATGACAGGATCTAGCCAGAAACAGTATTTAGGGCTTTTATAGATGACAGAAATGGACAAATACTTCAGGATTTCTGTATAATGTAATGTCTTCCCTGGGGAGCATGCTTTGAGCGGTAGAAGCCCAATTCTACCATCAGCAGGAGGGGTGTGACAGTATAATATATTTTCCTCAGTGGGTCTCAGTGAAAGACAGAGTCTGATTTTTAGTTCTAGTTTTAAATATATGGCAGGTATTCAAATAGTAACTACAGTAATGGGGCCATATCAGCTGGTATGGGAAGAGATTCTTCTATTCCCTTCATGGAGTGACTTTATGTCTTTAAACCTGCAGAAAAAGGTTTACTAAACTAGGCACAATTAGTCCTAGATGATCACATCAGACCTGCCCTCAAAGCGAGCCTACAATGTTTGACTTCCTTTGTGAGGTGAAGTGCAGGGTAGCCCACCTGTCTTACCCACCTCTACCAAAAGCCACCCATCTCACACTGCAAGAAAATCCTTTATATGCAGCAGTCTCCAGTGTCAGACTTTCTAACAGCAATTTTTATATATTTTCAGGAGCAAACAGTGAAAGCATCAGGAAAAATTTTATCATGATTTTGGCCTTTTGAGTGACCTTATTTTTTCTTTTTCTCTCTAGCCATGTCCTGTCCTGGAGGCAGCATCTACAAGAGCTGTGGTACTAGGTGTCCCTCTACCTGTTTGAACATCTCAGCAGTTGATTCCTGCAGTTCCTTACCAGTGGAAGGTTGCTTCTGTAAGGAAGGCTACGTTTTGAGTGGAGACAAATGTGTGCCAGAAAGCAGCTGTGGTTGTGTTGATGAAAAAAACCAGTATCACCAGGCAAGTTACCTCAGACATTTAAAGAAAAAAAAAAAAAAAGAAAGAACAGGGGATCTCATTTTTTATCACCATGAGAGAAAAAAATGTTAATAACACTAACACAATTATTATTTACACCATCAATAATAATAAAATAGACTCACTTTGCCAACCTTCTTGATCTGTGAGCTGTGTGGCTACAATTGCCCAAATGATCATCTATCATGCATTTTCAAATAATTTGATCGTCCCTTACGGTATTACCTTCCAATTTATCTTATAGTATATACTTGTACACTCTTTTTTCCGCTCAGCTGGATGAAAGCTGGTTCACCAGTTATCCCTGCACTGAACGCTGCACCTGCAAGGCTAACAACACCATTGTATGCACATCCTGGGAGTGTGGAGTCCGAGAGGAATGCAGTATTCAGGATGGTGTGCTGGGCTGTCATTCCAATGGTAAGTCCTGCCTGAAAATGGTTCTTAATGTCAATTCCATAATTAGATCCTTCTTCTCCTTCTAGCTTTATTATAAATATCTTTTCATATGTGATGGCAGAGAAGTCCCAACTGACTGCTACCAGTGCTAAGAGATGAAAAGACATGATGATCTGTCTTGCAAGCACAGATCCCCTTCCTCTGTTATAGTGGATATCAGCAAAAACTGATGCTGCCCAAAAGCTTGCAAAGTCACTTGGGTTCCTTTTGTCTTGATAATACAAATTCAAGTCCCACATCACCAGTTCTGCAAGCTCTAAATATGGGAATAATTGAGAACTGCATTTCTGAAAGTCTGGGTGATGGCAAGTGCATTAAGTATCTATGTATATAGATGCAAATTTATTTACTTTTATGTTTACATGTATATGTATACATATAATTATGTATTTTCACATACCTAAGTAGAAAAGCTCTGTATTACTCTCAACTACCACAAATCATAGCTACAACAGCATATAGAAATGTATAAAGAGGTTCATTTGCTGCCAACTTGCCAGTTTGTACAAAATTTGCAAATTAAATTTAGGAGACACTTTCTGGAAATTTCTTACTTCCAAATAAATGCCATTGGCACAAACCTGAGATATCTTTGTGAAGTTTTGCCCACATAATAATGATCAGGATTAGGTTGCTGCATTAATGCAAACATCTTTGGTCAGCTGTGTCCACGGTGAAATCCAGTCCAAAGTTCTTAGATCATTTTTTCACCTTCAGGCCAAGCAACGTGTCAAGTGGCAGGAGATCCCCATTATTTCACTTTTGATGGAATGATGTACACTTTTGTGGGTACCTGCACCTACACCTTGGTTGAGGTTGTCAACAAGAACAGTGTCATTCCCATAACCATCCTTGGCAAGAATGAAGACAGAGGACTAAGAGGGGCTACATACCTGAAAGAAGTCTACATAGATGTGTATGGTGTACGAATCACCCTTCAGAAAAGCCAAGGAATCCTGGTAGGTGGTGGTGCTCTTTATTTTGGCAAGAAGCATCTTAAAATTAGCTCACTACAGTAGCTGTAGGAAAAAGGATCTTCATGTTTCTTAATGAATATGTATGCATATGCTTAATTAATACTTGTGGGCACCTCCATTAACTGGATATCATGGGGAAATATCATTTCTTACTAGTTCCAAGGCTTCTTGGTTTGGGTTTACTGTTCTATTGGCCCTATTTTGGAGATGGAGCCCAGAGCCTCCAGATCAGAGAATTGTTGCCTGAACTAAAGAATGGGGCTCCCCACTTCAATAGCTGTTGTAAACCCGATCAGCCATAGCTAGCTAACAAGAGCAGAGGAAAAGCAAGTCATACTGTATTGGTTTAGAACAGCAAGGGGATCTGTGGCAGTACCAGAGGCAGGGAATCCACCCTATGGGTGGGTAAGAGCTTGCTCACTACCAGGGATCTTTCCAGCTTCCTGTTAAAGGCACACGCTACGAGTTCTGCCCAGCTCTCCTCAGCTAAAAGGCCGATTCCTGCAACCCATAGTTGGAATATACAATGGTGGAAGTGTAAAGGAGCTAAAACTGTCATAGAGAAATCTTCAGCACTGCAAGGAATATAGATTGTAAGCAGAAAAGCTTTCACAGAAGAATGTCCATACTGATAAATGATATGTCTCTCCAGTTGAACAACGAGAGAGTCTACACTCCAGTGGAGAACCGGTTGCGAGGCGTGTCCATTGGAAAAGTTGGCAGATTTATAGTAGTGGAAACTGACTTTGGTGTGATAGTGAAATATGATGGCAATCACCATCTGGAAATCACCCTCCCACAGTCTTATTTCTCAAAGGTAAGATTTAGCATGTAAACATTTGGCACTGTTTCAAAACCACTGCTTTGTGCATTTACTTTTAATTTCTTTTATTCTTGTGTTTTGCTATTGCATCTTTCTTTTGTAATCTTCTGTATTGTAATACATATCATTTTTTTCCTTTCTGTTTTTTTCTCTTCACAACAATTTCCTTGAGTTCCAAGGGGGTAGTCAGAGAAAATGAGCTGGCTAGGGGAATACATCCAGCTTATAGAATTAAATGCCTTGAAGCCTAAGGGAACCACAGATTTACTGCAGTTTCTGTTTTATTTCTCCATGGGTGAAATAGTCAGACACTAGTGAGTATGTCTGAAATGTCTGGTACAAGATTGGTTGGTGGTGGTGATTTGGTCACATCATTTCATAGGCAATGAATAAGCAATTATTGGGGAAGCTGATGTAGAACAGATTGTGCTTAGAATATGGTTATTGTTCATTTGCAGGTACATGGCATGTGTGGTAACTTCAATGATAATCGTGAAGATGATCTGTCCTTGCCCAATGGTACACTCGTCAATGTCCCACAGTTTGGAAATAGCTGGAAAGTGGAGGAAGACAGTGATGAAGGGTAAATGTAACTTCTTTTCATACCTTCCATCTTCCTTCAGGAAACAGTCTCCTTTCAATTGTTTTGACTGTTTGCTACTTTGTAAAATATAAGTAGTGTATATGAGACTTTTCTTGAATTTGAAGCTCAAAAAAAAGCCATCACCACAGGAAACTACTGCACAGGCCAGAGGGGAACCACAGCCATTCTTTTGACCTACATACACACTTGGGGAATTAGACTTTGGGGTAGTCCACAGTGTGGACATAGCCTCTGTTTATTTTACACTGAAAACGCCTAGAGCAGGATGATGGTGTTGGGGAACAGTGAGGGCCAGCTTCTCCCTAAGGGACAGGGAGCCAAGTGTGATAACGCAGCCAAGAGAACAGTGGCCTCACCAGCCAGGGCCCATCCCGCACTGCCCAAGCAAGGCAAGCAGGGCAGGCCCAGGGGTGGAAGCCAGGGGAAGCCAAGAGTCCAGATCACCACACAAGTTTGCAGTGATGAGACAGGTCCAAGGCCAAGATGAACAGTCAAACCTCTATTCAGGGTCAAGTTCAGTGAGAGTAACGAGGGTCAGACACAGCATGGTGATTGCCAGGCAAGTCTACCTCTCTCTAGTCTTTCACTCATAGACAGAAAGAAGACTGTAGTCTTTAGTGTTCTTTGTTTAATACCTTTCAATAGAAACAAACTTTACAGTTTCAGTCTCTGTCTTATACATGCCTTTGAAACTTAAATGCAGCTGTGTCTGTGCTTTCATACAGTTGTTTATCAGACTTAAGAGAAGATGATGTTCCTCCTTGCACTGCTGAGAATAAACCAGTCATTGAAAGCCAGTGCAACGTCCTAAAATCAGACAAATTCAAAGCATGTCATAATCTAGTCAAGCCTGAAGACTTCATACAGATCTGCATCTATGACATGTGCCAGTATGATGGCATGAAGTCTGCTCTGTGCGACATAGTTCAAGTCTATGTGGACACCTGCAGGAATCATGGAATCACCATTGAGTGGAGGAATAGCACATTCTGTCGTAAGTGCACAAGCAAGTGAAAAAACTGAAACTTGGATGGCTGATAGCATGAAAACAGATTAGCAGTATTGGGTGAACAAGTTATGTAAAAGAAAATTAAACCCAAATTTTCACAAAATGCAATTCTATTATTATGATTTTATGGCTCCATTGTTGCACTGAACTGTGTTCAGGTTGAGCTAAACCCAGTGATAACTCAGGACTAGACAAGTTATGGATAGTAATGTGGAGTTAGAATGGCTTTAGGAGCCAAAAGAGGCATTTGCAGCTGAACTGGAATACTGAATATGAATGATCTAGTGCCAGGTGCCACCAGTTCAGGCATACCTGTAACAGAACTGAATCAGCAGCTCCAGAGAGGGTTCTCTGTTTTGGTTTTGTTGTTTTTTTAAATAAAATATAGAAAATCAAAGCTGGTTGATGATCAAAATCAGCTATTAAAAGGCAATTCTATACTACCATTTTATAGGCCAAGTTGTAGCTTTCAGGCAGGCACATGTGTTTGCAGTGCACTTTCTAAATGTCTTTAATAATGCTGATTCTATTCTCTTCACCCACACAGCATTGCCCTGTCCACCCCACAGCCATTACACGGACTGTGTCTCCACCTGCCCATCAACATGCAATGACATTTTTGCCTCTTCCCTTTGCGAGAAGACAGACGAGTGCACAGAGGGCTGTGAGTGTGATAATAACTATGTGCTCAGTAATGGCAACTGTGTACCTCTGAGCAAGTGTGGCTGCAGGGATGATGACAACAATTACTACAGTGTAAGTAGTGTGTCTGTGGAGCAAACCTCTGGCTGCAAAACTTGTAGAAAGTTAGTCTCCTGTCCATCTGAGTGAGAGAGAGAGAAATCTTCAAGCTCTACCTCTTAAATACCTATTATCTCATTAGTAAAAGCTGCAGGCTCAGGTATTAGGAGATGCAGGAGCTTGGTACTTTGCACCTGAGGCCAAAATTGAGGCATATTCAAAACTAGTCAATTGATCAGAGTTATTCAGGCAGTCTGTCCTAGTCCTGTTTTGTGTTCAAATTCTCATGTCGAAGACAATAATATGAATGGACTGGGATCCTCCCTCCCAGGCTTTTGGTGAGAATACACCTGGACTGAGCAGTTGTGGAATCACTAGCTGGACAGGTTGCACCTAGCCAGCCCCCACACCCTTTGCTATTGAACTTCTATTGCATTGCAAAGCTGAGCACCTTGATAACATATTATTAACACAACTTGTGTCCAGGCTGGGGAGACTTGGATAACTCCACACTGCACCAAAAGATGCCAGTGTCAGAAGAACGGTGTCATCAAATGTAAGAGCTATAGCTGTGATTCTAAAGAAACCTGCGTAATCAAAAATGGAAAACACAAGTGCAATCCAACAGGTACGTGCAGGCAGCTCTTCACTTGGTGTTCCATGAGGGCTGGAGAAGGAGGAAGGATGTGGGTGTCCATTCTTTCTTCCATGGCACTTCCAGTCTTTTCCACAGGGAAAAAAGGCAGCTCTGACAGTGCTGTTGATGACACATTATTGAACACAAAAAAGCCTCAGTTCTCAGAATAGAAAGTTCCAGTACAAGACAGAGAATTTGTAGAGGGAAGTGGAACAAGAGTTTGAAAATTTACTTACATCTAGAAATTTGACGGTTTGGTCTGACTAGTTTAATTAAAAAAAAAAAAAAAAAAAAAAAGAGATTTGCTGAAAAAAAATTTATAACTAAAAAATTTGCGGTGTGTTTTTACAAATTTAAATAAAAAAAAAAAAAAAAAAAGAAAAGAGATTTGTGCTGCATCTACCAAACCCAAAACTCAGATATGCCTGTGAATCCTTTGGCAATGATCTTGTTTTTTCCATTGCATGTTGATTTGAGAACAGAAAAAAATAAAGGCAAAACAGGACAGAGAAGATCTGAACAGATACGTAATAGGCCAGTCAGAGAACTTTGGTGGGTTTTCATTCAATAGCTGCTTTGGCTAAGCAAAGTTAATCCCATATTCTCTAGGTAAATTGGATTATTTAGGAGACAGCTTGCTGCCTAGTGACTCTACACTTCAATTTTGAAGAACAGTAAGGCATAGTTCCTACTGTATTGATGATCAGTACAAAAGCATAATGCAAATCCAGCTTCCCCCTGCTCCGTTTTGGTAAAATACCACAGCAGAGGCACCCCAGCAGTCTTAAGGAGAGACTTGCTTCTGGGATAACGGTTTGCTCTGCGCTCAATGGTCAAGGAGAATACTTAGACAATAGTCGCTGCATCTGATTTTTAGGTCTGTTGAACCCAATGATCAATTTAGTAACCTCAGAAGAAATCAGTGTAACAGCAGTGAGCCAGCCATAGTTAGACATTGCTTTTCATGTTCCAATAATTTTGTAGCAACACATTGCTGAGGATTATGAAACCGACATCTCTAAGAGCCCACTGCAAGACATGCTCTGTGGCAGAGTCATTCCTCTGCAGAGGACCAATGTGCATAACTTAGTCTCTATAAAGCCTATAAACCCTAATGTTCTGCTTCAGTTCAGCTGGCTCACACTGGTTCTCAGCAGAGGAATGAGTTTCTCTGGTCGTCTCTCCATTTGAGTGTCCATTCACTAGGGTGATGCCTGAGCACCCATCTCTACTTTAGAAGACCTGCATGCTAGCAGCAATTATTTTTATGTAACTTATTTTAAACTGATCCATGCATGGGATCTGGCACATGCACATTCAGAATCGAGAGTAATGAAGCTCTTCCCCTTTAGGTTTTGGGAAATGCCAGGTCATGGGTGACCCACACTACATCACCTTTGACGGTCTGGTGCACCACTTTCAAGGGAAATACACATATATTCTGGCTCAGACCATCCCTGACCTACCTGATACTCTGACGCCATTCAGCATTGAAGGCACGAACTATCCTTTTCATCGAAGTCGGCATATTACTTACCTGAAAGAGATTATCATCAATGTTTACAATCACACAGTGCGATTCAGGCAAAACAAGCAGCTTGTGGTAAGTCTTTTTCTGACTGCAGAGCACAGAGAAAGGCCCTCCCTTGGAGTAAAACACCTTTCAGTAATAAATGTCTGTTTTGAAGAATTTAAGTATTAAAGTTAACTGTATTATTACAGCAGTGCTATTGGGGCAACCACAAATGTGACTTTCAGTTGTGTGGAGTCTTTTTTCTCTATAGCTATGACCAATATAATTCTACTTCAAACAAATAAATTAATAAATAGAGATTTAGGAATAAAATACCAAATATCCCAAGACTTACAATAAAGCCATACAAATTTTTGTCAGTGGTAAGGAAAAGTGTGAATTATGCTAGGAAAATTTTATTTCCATCCCCTTTATTAGTGCATAACAGTATATATAGCTCATATATACATTTTTAGCTCAATAATAGAAATCTCTTACGATGATATGAAAATACTGTGTCCAGATCACTTTCCTCAATACATGATTTTGTTAACTTTAAAAAATTGAATACTGAGTTTTTTACCTTGTTAAATTATCTGAGATATTTATCATAAAACCAGAGAGGGGGAGTGTTCATTTGTGGCATTGACCTGTACTGAAAGCAGATTTGAATTTGGCCTATATATTATGAATTTTAACTTATTCTTTCCCTGTTAGTTGGATGGTGTGAGGGTGAGACCCCCTGCTCATCCTCATGAAGGTATTCATATACATGAGAGTATAACAAGAATTTACCTGAAGACAGATTTTGGCTTATACCTGAGCTTTGATGGCAATCAAAATGCAGGTAAGTGATACTAAAACAATGTACAGGAATACTTATGCACTGTCTCAAAAAATATTCTTATTGCAAAGGAGGTCTAAACCCAGGCAAAATTAGAAACCTTCACCCTTTGAGCCTATGGCCCTTTGTAATATGAACTTCCAGAAAATTAAAACAAAAAAGTTTCCCAGGAACCAGAAAAACCATAAAACTAGCATTTCTTTATCTGGATCCACCTGAACTTAGGAGAAATGAGGTGTAGACTCAGACTGTTCTACTTTTTTCATGTTAAGTAAGGCCTGAGTGATAAAAACGAAAGCAAATAAGAATGATGAGGTGAAGTCTGGATCTGCCCCTTTGCCAGCTTAATCCAGTCATAGGACTGAGGGCCTCAAGCTATACAGCTGTGAATGCATCCTTTTACATCTTCCTCTCAAGCCTGTTCCAGGTAAATCTCATTCTTTAGTGTTTCTCAGCAGGACTCATATCACATATATGCAACTCACTCATGTAAGTTGAACACACGTTACCTCTTCTGTTCAAAGCAGAGTTACTCCTGATTTACAACAGAATATAGCCATGTTATTTCTGAGTGTGTGGTGAAAGTGCCAGGCCATTTATACATACAACCATCATTCCAAACCCTAAAATTCCAACTGCAGAAAGCAAAGGTCTGTTTTATAGGAATTCTGTTTCTCAACGAGCAAGTAGATTGTAAGTGAATGGCAAAAAGTGGGTGGTGCATTCAGTTTGTTGCAAAGCAGTAAGCAGTATGCACTAAGAACGCTCAGGTGGTGATGTCATGTTATATAATACCTTATTGGCTGCAAGAAAAGACTTTTTTTCATGATCCATGTTGCAGAGCACAGAAACAGTCCTGTGAATACATGTATGATCACGTATGTTCAGGGCTGTGTTCATATCCTACGTATGTGGCCCATGTCACATTACGAGCTCCGACCTGAATTATGAAATGTGGTACTACACACTGCTTTCCACCTCTTCCATACACTCAGAAGCAAAGATTTCTGTGTAATGTTTTTTTTTTTTTCTTCTGAACTTCCCTAGATATAAAGCTGGCCAACACCTACAGAAACAGAGTGGAAGGCTTGTGTGGTGACTTTGATGGGAGACATAGAAATGACTTCACAAAGCCAGATGGTGTTTGGGTGAAGAACGTGGATGTATTTGGTGACAGCTGGAAAGTTCCTCTGAAAAGAAAAACCTCTCGTCTCAGGTACTTAATTTTCTATTTAATATCCATGGCAAGCACAGCCACTGGAAGTGACTGAATTAAGCCATAGTTAATATCCAGGAATTACTATACTGTCTTATTTCTGGTCTTTCTTCTTCCCTTGGTCTGTGTGTAGGGACTTTTCCTGCTCATCACTAAGGTGAACTATCAGTGCCCTTCTGTCTAGCCAAAAGAAGCTTGAACTATCACTGCATTACTCCAGTAGCCCTCTTTGGAGTCACAGCCATTACAACTGCTAGGGCACAGGGATGAATAAGATCTTTGCCAAGCTTATGGTTCCTGGCAAAGATAAATACATCATGTTGTGCTGGATGGGCCTGAGGGAGGGCAAATCCTGGTTCAGTGTCATCCCTCCCTCTGGAACAGAAGGAAGGTAGCTTTGAAATCCATCAAGATGAATTCACAATTCCTCCCAAAAGAGGTTCTTGAAGAGTCTGATTTCCTTACTTTCATGGCTATCTAGTGTTTTCTGCCAGTACACAAAAAGTAAGGACATTCTTTTGAGTATAAATGAGCATGAGATTTGTGGTCAGGCAAATTCTGTGCTAATTAGTCCATACAGAACATTGAAACAGGTAGGGAAAAAGTTTCCTTCCTTCCTTCTCAATTTGCTTTGAAAGACCTTTGGAGGTTGCTTAGGCACTAATACAGAACTCTTTCAGCAAGTAAATGGAATTGTATTAGCTGCCAGGATATAATTTGGCTGCAAAAACTTTTCTGCCAGAATAGCAGAAAGCAGTATGTAGGCTAGTGTTGAGCATAAAGAGGCTCTGGAGGCTATGCCTACAGGAGAATTCTGGCACCTCAGGCATGCAGCCAGTTGTTCAGTGAAAGTGAACATAGGTCCAAAAAGTAGTGGCCTATTCCAGCTGCATCATTCTGCCTAACGTTCAAGTTTTATTGAATAGATTGGATGAAGAAGGCATTGGATGAAGCCTGTATCATGCAGAATTTCCAAAGAGATAATTACAGCATCCCTTTTGATCTAAATACCCATAAATCTCTGAGATGATAGGAAGTGTTCTAGGACATCTTTGATTTGCTTTGTCTATCTCCTTCCAATTCAGGATAAATCATGAGAGAGAAATAAGCTTATACTTGCACCACAAGGCAGAAGTACTCTTGTGGTGTTACTTAGAGAGTAGTACCATGAATGCTGGATGTACAGAGAATTGATGGTTTCATAATTACTTCAATTACAGACGAGATGTCATCTCAAAAGCTGAGTCTGAGGAGGAACCAGATCCAGGGCTCTTCCAAGGCTGCAATGAAAAACAGCTGAATAAAGAAAACAGAACTTCAAGATGTCAAATCCTGACTGACTCAAATGGTCCTTTCGTAAAGTGTCATTCTACGGTCTCACCAAATTTCTATTTCACGTAAGTGTCTACTACAGACAGTTATTCTCCCCATTTGCTAAATCATTTTGGTGCTAGTTTCTGACAAGAAATTTGCATCTTCAGTCTCCAGGGTATTAATAGGAAATGAGGATAGTAAGTGTCTTTGGAAAACTGGGCCCAGTGATTCCAGTATTGATATACTTAAATCCTCTTAATTATTTTTAAATAATGGTGATGATCTGTCTTTCCATCTAGAGTTTCACTTTTCTGTTAGCTCTAGAAAGTAGCTTTCCTCTTT